AGTATATGTAAAAGGAAATGAGAAAGGAATAAAAATGTGTCACTAAAAACATAAATTCAACACAAAGGAAGGCAGTAATGGAGAAATTTAGGGGCAAAATAGTTATAAGACATATAGAAAAAAATAAAGTTGCAAAAGTCAGTTCTTCCCTATTCTTAATTATTTCAAATGTAAATGGATCAAATTCCCTAATTAAAAGGTGTAGATTGGCAGAACAGATTTTAAAAACAGTGTTCAAATATATGCTATCCATAAGAGACTCACTTTAGATCCAAGAATATACACCGGTTGAAAGTAAAAGCATGGAAAAAGATATTTCATGCAAATAGTAACCAAAAGAGAGTAGGGGTGATTGTATTAATATCAGACAAATAGACTTCAAGTCAACAACTGTTAGAAGAGAGAAAAAGAAATTATCCAATGGTAAAAAGTGGATTCTCCAAGGAGATTTACATAAATTCATTAATTCAACAAACAGAGCTCCAAAGTGTACGAAGCAAACATTGACAGAATTGAAGGGAGAAGCACCTCTGCAATAATAATGGGAGACTTCAATACCTGACTTTCATAATGGGTAAAACATTCAGACGGAAGATGAATAAGTAAAGAGAGGATTTGAACAACACTATAAACAAATTGGACCTAGCAGAGATATATAAAATTCTCCTTCCAACAACAGGAGAATATGTATTTTTCTCATGTATACAATGAATACTCTCCAGGACAGATCATATTTTTAGGCCACAAAACAAATTTTTAATGAATTTTAAAAGATGGAAATCATTCATTTTTTTCTAATCACAATGCAATGAAACTAGAAATCAACAGCAGGTTAAAAATGGAAAAATTCACAAATATGTGTAAGTTAAACAACACATGCTTAATTAAAGGGTTGAAGAAGAATTCACAAGGGAAGTTAGAAACTAGCTTGAAACAAATGAAAACACACACCAAAACTTACAGGATGCAGCAATAGTCATGATAAGAGGGAAATTTACAGCTATAAATGCTTACATTGAAAAAGAAGGAAGGTCTAAATGAACAATTAACTTTCCACCTTAAGAAACTAGGAAAAGGAAAAAGCCCCAAAGCTAGCCAGAGGAAGGAAATAACAAATGTTAGAACAGAGATAAGTAAAACAAGTAATAGAAAAAACAAGAGGAAATCAATGAAACCAAGAGTTGGTTCTTTGAAAAGATCAAGAAAATGGTGGATGAATCTTTAGCTGGATTGACTAAGAGAAAAGAAAGAAGACTCAAAAATTAACATCAAAAATGAAAGAGGGGACATCACTACTGATTTTACAGAAGTAAAAAGGAGTATAAGAGAGTACTATGAACATTTGTATACCAACAAATTGAATAGTCTGGGTGAAATGGACAAATTCTTAGAAGTATACAACCTAGAACAAATGAATCATGAAGACAGAAAACATGAATATACCTCTAACTGTGTAAGGAGATTGAATCAGTAATCAAAAACCTGCCAACAGAGAAAAGCTCAGGACTGTGTGTCTTTACTGATGAATTCTACCAAACATTTAAAGAATTTAAACCAGTTCTTCTCAAATGCTTCCAAAAAATTGAAGAGGAAGAAACACATTCCAATTAATTCTATAACGCCAGTGTGACCCCAATACCAAAATCAAAAACTTTGCAAGAAAGAAAACTACAGACCAGTAATCCTTTTGAATGTTAATGCAGAAATACTCAGTAAAATGCCAGCAAACTAAATTCAGCAGCGTAGTGAAAGGAGGATACACCAAGTAGGATTTATTCCTGGAAGGCAAGAATAGTTCAACATCCTACAAAAATCAATGTAATACGCCACATTAACAAATGAAGGAATAAAGACACATAATCATTTCACTGATGCAGGAAAAGCATTTGACAAAATTCAACATCTTTTTATGACAAAAGCTCAACACATTAAAAGGAAACAAGCTGAGCACAGTGGCTTATGCTTGTAATCTCCGCACTTCGGGAGCCAGGGCGGGCAGATCACTCGAGGTCAGGAGTTCAAGGCTGGCCTGGCCAACATGGCGAAACTCTATCTCTACAAAAAATACAAAAATTAGCCAGGCGTGGTGGTGCATGCCAGTACTACCAGCTGCTTGGGTGGCTGAGGCATAATAATCACTTAAGCCAGGGATGCAGAGGTGGAGGTTTGTAGTGAGCTGAGATCGTGCCACTGCGCTCCAGCCTGGGCAACAGAGTGACTCCATCCCAAAAGAAAAAACAAGAAAGAAAAAAACTATTTCAATATAAGATCATTTATGAAAAACCCAGAGCTAACATTATATTCAGTGGTGTCATGATTGAACTGTTTTTCCTCTAATATCAGCTACAAAGAATGGATACCTGTTTTTGCCAGAAAAGGACAAAGATGATTTCATATTGTACCTAGAGTCATCCAATTCAGAGACAGAAAATAGAATGGTAGTTGCTAGTAGCTGGGGGCTGGGGAATGAGGAGTTATTGTTTAATGAGTAGAGAGTTTCAGTTTGGAAAGAGTCTGTAACTATATAGATGTTATAGTTGCATAACAGTGCAGATATACCTAATATGACTTAACTAACTGTACACTTTAAAGTGGTTAAAATGGTTAAATATTTTAGATATATTTTGCCACAATAAGAGGAAATCAAGAGAAAAACTTGCTATTTAGAAATAACAATAAAATTACTCTGAATCAATATTTAAATTCTGATGCTAATTCCAATTTTTACATTCATTTGTTAAGAAAGACTGAAAGTAAAAATAAAGGTATAATTTGGAAAACTAGCACAAAGTAATTAGAATTATACATGTTATTACACAATTAAGATAAAAACAATACAAATTTTAACTCATTCATTGAAAACAGTATACATTTTTGAAAAGTCTAATCTGAGGGGAAAAGGCAAATACATAGAAACGCTTAAGAAGCAGAAAGGCCGTGTAACCAATAACTATTTATTTGTAATAAATATTTTGTGTACCATTTTGTTCAAATACATTTGGGAGAATAAGGACAAAGGAATAGCGGCTACACTTACTGTTTATGGTAAGGTAGGAACTCTGATTTTTGGTGCTTTCCGTGGATTATCTCATTTAATAGTCAGAATATCCTTATCCTTATGTGATAGGCACTATTGTACCCATTTTACACATGAGAAAGCTGAGGCACAGTGCACTTAAACAACTTGCTCAAGGTCACAGCCAGTAAGTGGCAGGATCAGGATCTGAATCCATGTCGTCTTACTGTAAAGCTTACACTGTTAATCAGCCTCTCCTCACAGACAGATGTCAAGGAAATTGGTCAAAATGAAGACCACAGACATATCTCCCCCCTTTTTTTGGTCTTAGGACATTTGCTATATTCTGTACTTTTTTAATAGGTCATTGAGACGTACTATCTTACTTATTCCGGTATTCCTCAAAGCGCAATGTACTGTGCTTTAGTAGTCACTGAAAGTTAGTTCACAATAAAACTGAATGAATAGCCTTCTTCTCCCTCTTTCCACTGACTCTGACAGCAGTAACTAAGAAGAGAAATGAAGCTAATGACCTACCTATTGCATAACAGTTCCTCAACACTTGTCTGCACATGGTGGAAGACTCATCACTCACAAATGCTTGCTTTATGGACCATGAAATGATGAAGCATAGGTGCACAGTAACACTCACCTAAAATTTTTGTTTGTAAAGATTAAAGGATATGTATCCTTATCCTAATGGAATCTCTGCCATTCTCCAAACAACTGGCTTGAGCATCCATCCAAAGGACATTTTCTTAGATCCATTTCTGATTTTCTTTAGAACCCAAACATATTGTAGGAGAGAAAGGGATGCCGAGCACCTCCCCTGCCCCCAGGTTGCAGAATGGAAGTGAGAGTACAGTACCTTACCCAGGGCGGTGCTGTGTTACAGGAGCCTCCATGTCCTGCTGGAGGCATGAGTAAGATTTGCAGGATCCAGGATTTCCTCTAGTAAAAGTCCTTTGTGAGGAGGAGTGGGTACAGGAGGCAGAGAGAAAATCAAATAGAACATATGGGTGACCTTACAAGTTCGAAGATAAATTTCCCCCAAATTGTAATATTTTCAAGCTTGGAGGCAGTATGGCCTTGCCTCCGTTCCCCTCAGCAACTGTGACAGGCGTTTGGTGCTCATTCAGAGAATACTATAAAGCCTCCCATATGAGATAAGCTGCGGGGAATTGACCCACAGTTAAGCCACTGTGATGAATCAGGTTAGAATTTTAATTAGCACTATGGTCTGTATGGAAACACCTTCGATGTCAGTCAACCGAGTGATTCAATCAGATTTGCCGAATTGAAATCTCTATGGATGGGACTGTAAACCAGCATTTCTGTAGACTTTACAGCTGATTATTTTTTGCTAGGTAATTTTTTTTTTTTTTTTTTTTTACTTTTCAACAGTTTCAGTAAAGTATAATTGACATGCAGTAAACTGTACATACTTCAAGTGTACAATTGATAAGTTTTGGCTTATGTACCTGTGAAATCATCACCGCAATTAACATAATAAATATACTCATTACTCCTGAATTTTCCTTCAGCCCCTCTGTGACCCACCCCTCCCATTCTTCCCCATCCCTTTATCTCCAAGTAACCACTAGTCTGCTTTCCGACACTATGGATTAGTTAGCATTTTGGGGAGTTTTATGTGAATGAAATCTTTGGGGAATAATCTATAAGCTTAAAGCTGCCATAAAAGAAAAACCTGAATTTAGGAAAAGTTTTTAGACAGTGGAAGGTGATGTTTATAACAGAAATGAAGTTGATATTTGTACATTTTCTAGCATATTTTTCTCTTTAATTTTTTATACAAATTTGAATTTTTAATTATTACTAAATATTACTAAATATTTAAACATAAAATGTTTCTCTTTAAATTAATTAAAATTTTGATAATTTTCCATTTTTATGTCCCAAAGCTACCTCTTAAACCCAAAGTTGTTTCACCGGATTTTTGTTTGTATTTTAAATCTTTTTACAGAGCATATAGGATTGGACAATGTAGAGATGTGAAAGTGCTTAGGCTGATCTCCTTGGGAACTGTGGAGGAAATCATGTATTTACGACAGGTATACAAGCAGGTAAGTATGTTTCCCTTCTTCTGTTTCAGAGGTCAATGTTTCTGTTTTCAAAAATTAAGAAGAAATTTGTGTAAAATGAAAGTTTTGTATTTTACTGTATCATATGGACTTTAATAAGATTATAAAAATACTCTTGAATACACTCCTATAAAACAGATTGTTAGATACATTGAATTTTTGAGCTGAAAGTTTTCTAGAGCAGTACCTCTTAAACTTTAGTGTACATGTGAATTACCTAGGGATCTTGTTAAAATACTGATTCTTATTTAGTAGGTCTGAGGTAGAGACCATGATTTGGAATTTTTAGCTAGCTCCCAAGAGTCCAAGTAAAACTGATCAGCAGCTCACAATTTGAGTAGCAAGGTCACAGCTCCCCAGACTACAGGCCAAGATGGAATGGTTTACTACAAACAGGCTACAGGTGCACTGAGACGTTGGTCCCACAGCTTTCTGGACAGCAAGAGTACCTAAGCCAGTGCATTAGTTCATTCTCATGCTGCTGTAAAGAACTGCCCAAAACTAGGTAATTTATAAAGGAAAGAGGCTTGACTCAAACAGTTCCACATGGCTGGGGAGGCCTCCGGAAACTTATGGTGGAAGGGGAAGTAAACATGCCCTTCTATACATGATGGCAGGAAGGATAAGTACTGAGCAAAAAGGGAAAGGCCACTTATAAAGCCATCAGATCTCGTGAGAACTCACTATCATGAGAACAGAAGCATGGGCATAACCGCCCCTATGATTCAAGTACCTCCCACCGGGTCCCTCCCACAACACATGGGGATTATGGGAACTGTAATTCAAGGTAAGATTTGGTTAGGGACACAGCAAAACCGTATCAGCTAGCTTCCAGCCTTGAGTACCTCTTCTTTGTACACCAGGTAGATATTCATATGTTACCATTTTCTATATGTGCCCTGACATGAAGCTTAGGGAGCACTACCTTAGAGATACATACTGTACATGATGAAACTGAGACCCCAGAGATGCCCCAGTAAATCAGATTATAGGAACAGAACTTAAGTGTTGTGCTAACAACTTTGCTGGTACTTTTAGTATTCGTCTAAAATTGCATTAATATGCTTGGCATATCAATTACTACTTTTATGCCTCTAAACAAACAATATTCATTTAGTTTACAACTGGATACTTGAGACGAAGGTTCAAGTGTAATTGTTAATGTTGAATTTGAATTGCTTCCTGTATGTTCAGTTGGCATCTATAGCAAACATCTGCCACATGTGTTGGTAGTTAACCTAAGAATGATCCAATCTTAAATTTATGCTATTTTCTTCATTCTAAAAATAGAATTGTACACAGAAGTTTTTGTTTAGTCTTAAAGCTTTTAGCTTTATAATATACTGTACATCTTTTGTGTGTGTGTGTCATACTTTGTATGGTACAAGTACTTGAAAATTATTTTTTTCTGACCTATTTAATTAACCTTGGGAAAAAGTGGGATGTTATTCGTCTTAGGAGCTGTTCTTTTGAGTACTGTCTTAGATGTCTTACAAGTAAGAGTCTTTCATCAATTATGTAGTAATTTTTTTCAGTCCATTACTATATACATTTTCTTTCTACCTATTCATCTGACTCCAAAATAAAATGTCTTGTTATAAAATAGATACTGTACAGTAGTATAGAATAAAACAGGCTTCAGAAGATGAGGTAATTTAAGAACTTTATATGACACAAATAAAGAAGATGGCAATCGTGTAAGGAAAAGGCATTAAATCCGGTTTAAAGATAGTTTGGAATTTAGACCAATGGTACAAATGGCACACACCTTCTAGCCTCCCAGGTTGGTTGGCCTTCCGTCTTTTGGGGGGGAATGTCCAAAAATGATGTTCTTAAAGAAAAACTAAAACTGTTAGAAAGGAAGAAAATTGTAAGGAGTCCTAAAAGACAAAAGGAAGTTGGGATCAAATTGAAGGAAGAAGCCAAGCTAAACTCCGTCAGAAGAAGACTTCTGAAAAGGTAGGTACAGCCTCTGGATGTTCCAAGCTTAGAGTCAGCACATACTAAAACAGACAGGAACCTTGGGTTAAGGGCAGAGCCCTCTTTGTATCACTGATGGTATAGCAAGATGGTTTAGCCCTTACAGTCTTACCTTATTTGGACCAAATTACAGCCAGCAGAGGTGTCTACTGTCAAGTGAGAATAATAAGTAGAAGTACCAGAAGCAAAGAAGCAAGACAGAGCTCCAAATTTTTCTAATCTTCAGAAGAAAGTCCCTCCTGTTGCCCAGAAGACTAATTACTTGCACCCTCCACCTTATTTCAAATAAGCATGACAGTAGACAGAGATAAGCATGTGAAATATTTAAAGGCAGATGAATAGCCTAGCCAAAAATAATTACCCAACATTTTAGGAAAATAAACACTTTGAAAAAGGCACTATAGTAGGCTGAATACTGGCCCTCAAAAATATAAATTTTGAATCCCTGAAAATTGTAAATGGTACTTTATATGGAAAAGGCATCTTTGCAGATGTAATTACGTTACAGGTCTTGAGATTTGGGGATTATCTGGGATTATCCACAAGTGCCCTTACATGAAAGAGCCAGACGATGATTGACACAGATGGAAGAGGAGAAGACAGTGTAACCACAGAAGCATTGATTGGAGTGATATGCCGGGAGCTAAGGAATGCTGGCAGCCACCACAAGCTGGAAGAGGCAAGTAGTAGATTCTTTCCTAGAGCCTCCAGAAGGAATGTGGTTCTGCCAGCACCTTGATTTCAGTTCAGTGATACTGATTTCAGATTTTTGGCTCCCAGAACTCTGAAAGGCTCAAATGATCCTCCCACCTCAGCATCCCGAGTAGCTGGAACTATAGGTGCATGCCACCACACCCAGCTAATTTTTGTTTTTACTTTCGTGGAGGCAGTTTCACTGTGTCACCCAGGCTGCTTGAAACTGAGTTGTTAATTCAGAACTCTTCCACAAAGACAGATTCTAGCCCAGATGACGTCAGTGGTCAATTCTATCAAACACTTAATACTTTTGAAAACAGAGGAAGAGGGAACACTTCAGCTTACTTCACCAAGGCGGAAGAGTCCTGATACCAAAACTTGATAAAGACATTACAAAAAGAGAAAATGACAGATGAATTATCTCTCATGAACATAAATATGAAAATCTTCAACCAAGCATCTGTTTTGAGTCAGTTGCGCCCTTTCCCCTCAAAAGATAGGTTGAAGTCCTTACCTCTGGTACATGTGAATGTGATTTTTAAAAATATATATATTTTATTGCGTTTTAGGTTTTGGGGTACATGTGACGAACATGCAAGATTGTTGCATAGGTACATACTTGGCAATGTGGTTGCCTGCCTTCCTCCACATCACCTATATCTGGCAGAATGTGATCTTACTTGTGAGTAGGGTCTTTGCAGATGCGTTTAAGATGAGGTCACATTGGATGAGAGTGGGCCTTAATCCATTGACTCATATCCTTATAAGAAGGGGGAAATCTGGATACAGATGGACACAGAGGAATAATGCCCTGTTACAATGGAGGCAGAGATTGGAGTGATGCCGCCGCAAGCCAAAGGACGCCACGGATTGCCAGAAACTGCCAGAAGCTAGAAAGAGGCAAGGAAGGATTATTCCCTAGACTCTTCAGACAGGGCCTGGCCCTATGGACACCTTGATTTCAGATTTAGCCTCCACAACTATAAGAAAATATACTTCTATTGTTTTAAGACATCCAATTTGTAGTACGTTGTTACAGCAGAATTGGGACACTAGTATAGCCTCTAAGGGAAATACAGAGAATTGTAAATTTGACTGCATTTTTTTTTTTTTTTTTTTTTTTTGAGACTGAATCTCACTCTTTTGCCCAGGCTGGAGTGCAGTGGTGTGATCTTGGCTCACTGCAACCTTCACCTCCCAAGTTCAAGTGATTTTCCTGCCTCAGCCTTCTGAGTAGCTGGGACTACAGGCGCATGCCAATATGCCCCGCTAATTGTTGTGTTTTTAGTAGAGACGGGGTTTCACCATGTTGGCCAGGATGGTTCTGACCTCTTGACCTCGTGATCTGCCTGTCTTGGCCTCCCAAAGTACTGGGATTATAGGCATGAGCCACCACGCCCAGCCAAATTTGACTGTGTTTTTGTATGAAACTTCTGTATGACAAAGGAACTGCAAACCAAAATCAAAGATAGACTAGGAACAAATGTTTGCAATGTATATGATGAAAGAGCAGCATCTGCAGAATATTAAGAACTTCCTCTCTATTAGTCTGTTTTCATACTGCTAATAAAGACATACCAGAGGCTGGGTAGTTTATAAATAAGAGGCTTAATGGACTCACAGTTCTGCATGGCTGGGGAGGCCTCCCAATAATGGCAGAAGGTGAAAGACATGGACGCAGGCAAAGAGAATGAAAATCAAACAAAAGGAATTTTCGCCTTATAAAACCATCCTATCTCATAAGACTTATATACTACCACAAGAACAATATGGGAGGAATCACCTGCATGATTCAGTTATATCCCATTGGGTCCCTCCCACAACAACACATGGGAATTATGAGAGCTGCAATTCAAGATGTGATTTGGGTAGGAACACAGCCAAACCATATCACCGACAAACCAATAAAAAAAATAATAGGCATTTCACTGAAGAAAAAAAATGCAAGTGGTTAATATATATGTGACAAGATCTTTTTAACCACACTCATAATCTAGAGATAGAAAATACTGGTTTTTCGAAAAGATCCAACAAAATAGGCCACTAGCCAGGTTAATAAAAAAGAAAAGAATAATCAAATAGACTCAATAAAAAAGATAAAGGGGCTATCACCACAGATTCCACAGAAATGCAAAGCATCATCAGAGATTATTACAAACATCTCTATGCACATAAACTAGTAAACCTGGAAGAAATGGATAAATTCCTGGACAGTTGCATCCTCCCAAGCCTAAACCAGGAAGAAGCTGAAACCCTGAATAGACCGATAACAATTAAGAGCCTATGACCCAAAAAAAGCCTAGGTC